GGGGACAAATACCAGTTAAATATGAGAAAGTTTTGGTATCTTAGAGGACCCATTTTTCTGCCTTGAATGTGACACAATAGGTATTTTTAAAAAAATTTAATTTTTCATTCATGTATTCATTGTTGCACGTTTTCTCCCTCCTTCCCCAGTCTACCCTGCAATGTACCCCTTGTTCCAGATTGTTCTCATGCATATAAAGCGTAATCATATATTCCTTTCAGTGAGTTCTTCACTCTGTTCTAATGCAGAGTTCATTATCTAGTCTTTCCCCATTCCCTTCTCAACCCCCTGTATCTGTGCTATTTTATATTGGTGGTATGCAGTAGATAAGTTTTTTGGTGCTCCTGTGGGAGGCTGGCTTGGTGTACTTTTAAAAAAAGGGATATTGGAATCCTTAGAATGATGTGGAAATGGTATTTGCCTTATCATTGTACCTAGAGGGAGAGCAATAAATTTGTGACATTGATTTTGATTTTATAAAGTAGGAAGAAGAGCTGCCTTTTAAGGCTGTCTACACAAGATAAAGGTTCTTTTTCCAAGAATCCACAGACCATCTGGTGGTCTTCGAGTCCTGTGGCCCAGTGTTTAAGCACTCGGCTTCTGACTGAAAGGTAGTTGTGGTCGAGCCACTGGACCCACTGGCTCAGCAGCAAGAGAATCTAGTGATCTGGTTCTGTGAAGAATGAGTCAGTTCAGTCACAAAGGGAGCTCTGATAGCCTAGTACTAAGGCGTTGCACGGCTGATCCAAAGGCACAAAGCTTGAGTCCACCGCTGTTCCATGGGAGAAAGATGGGTAATCTCTTCCTATGTGATTCACAGCCTTTAAAAACTCTCTGGTGGGTCAGCCATCAGTTGGTTCTGAATCAATGGCACACAGCAACAATATTTTGTCACGTGGAGTTGCTGTAAGTTCACATCAACTAGACTGCACTCCATCTCCAGGAAAATAATATTTCATCTTACCTCTCAGGTCTACTTATTCCTTCTCTGAGGTACATGGAGATATTCAGAGTCACCCAGCCTATTGTTTCACATATTAACCCATTAACGTTTTATATTCACCTTGAAAAGAATTAGAAAATTACAGAAAGTTTCGCTTGGTAGTCTGAACTTGAACCTCAGGTTTTTTGACCTCTAATCTGGAATTCTGTCCATTTTCTCTGAGAGTGTGAAGAATTGCCATACAGTTTGGTTTTTAAAATGGGTAAAAAGGAAGTCAGCTGTGGATCGGTTCTGACTGCAAGGCACCCAACAATATGGCACATTTACAGTGGGATAAATCTTCAGTCATGCTGTTGGCAAGTGATTTTTTTACCGTGTTTAGTTGGTCGGCATTATCAAACCGGTTGGGTATTTGATTTTCTTTAACTTACTTTGATCTGGAATTTTTGCAGAAGAGTTTGAACTTTTATTACCAGTGCTTGAATGAGAGGCTGTTCTTCTTGGTTCCAGTTAAATAGTAAGGAAGTTCTTGCCTTTGGATTCCTAGTAAAAACGACCTATGGTTTGTTAAGAATGAAACCAGTTATTCTCTGAGAATGTAGTTGTAGGGAAATGATACCAAGATCCATTTAATGTGTCCTTGTCTCACTTTGAGATTTCCTTGGTCTCTGTGGTGAGAGGAAGTATAATCCACTGAAAATGTTTCAAGTGGCAAAACTGGGAAGGTGTTGACCTGGACTCAAGGCTTTTTGGACTCTATCAGCCCAAATCAGTTAATGGTTTGCAAACTGATGTGTAGTATAATCTTTTTATGGTGCATACTACCTGGAGAGGAACTTTCACCTCTGAGTTAGGAGACCATATACTGTAGCTTGCCTAACTTCTGCTGTGTCTCCACTACTTACACTTCTTTTCGTCTCATATTTTCCCTCCCACTTACATCTTATGTGTAGATATTATGCATAACCTGTTAGCCTAAGGGAAGATGACTGCCACCACCCCTTTCCTTTTCTGTGATGGTTGGGAGAAAGTGCTTAGAGGTTATAAGGGAGAAGGGCTGACCCATTTTATCTGTCATACACAGGACTTGTAGCATTTCGGACTTGAGAATGAGTTTTAGAATGGCACCTGGGTTTAAATTAAAAATTTGCTCATAACTGTGAGATCTTGAGTAGTTTGTTTTCTCACTTGCAATAAAATATGACTTTTTGAAATAAATGTAAGACATTTAATAATTTTATTGTCACCTTCCCTTTCTCTTGCTAATAAAGTGCTGACACCTCAGATGAAGAGTTGAGGACTATAGCAGATTTATAATACTGTACACTGCCAGGAATGAGGGAAGCACTCTGTCCTAGAAACCAGCTCATCTACTCCTTAGAACTCAGTTATGGTCTTGATCCAGTGAATTTCAGCAGCTAGTTCACACACAGTTGTGGACTGAGGAATTACTATTAAGAAATGTAACTGGAACATACAAACTAACTCTTGAAATAACTTAATGCCTCACATTTGTTTAACATACATTATCTCACCCGATCTTCATAGCCGGTCTGGGTTAGGTTGAGCCAGTTGAGGATTGGCCTTTTTACATATGAGAGCATACCAGTCTTCTGAGTTTTAGTCTAAACCACAAAGCTTCTGCTATTTTCCTTCAAAAAGAAGATGTCTTCATTTTTCCAGATAGAGGAATAAGATGGGAGAAACCAGTATCATCTTTTCAGATATTGCTTCCTGACTTGAGACAGAAGTAGTTTCTCTTCCTTCTCAGCTCCCTTTACTGACTTATAGTTATTGGGGCCAAAATCACCATTTTATGATTGCGGAGTGATGGTTTCCTTTCAGCAGCCGTGAAGATTACAGAGCAGAGGCTGCCACAGGTAGTAACTGAATCTTAGTCATTGGGAGAACCACTCTTAAGCCCATCCTAGTCCTTTGTGTGTGGATAGTTATGGTTATGGTACATAGTGAATACGGGTGAGTGCTTAAAGTGATGAAATAGATGAAAAGGGAGCAAGCAGCATTTTTATAAGAGCACTTTATTAAAGATCTTTGAGAGATCTGTTGGAATGTAGGGAAGGAATGTGAGAAAATGACAAAGGATTCAGGACTGGTTTCAGGTACTGGGTTGATTAGGATTCAGGACTGAATTCAGGGACTGGCTTGACTGGAAGGAGTTATGATGATAGAGAACTTAGTAGATGTTTTTGATGCAAAAAAGTATTGGCACCTGCTTGTCAATTTCTCCTGGGTGCTCTTGTTTGCTGAATACTGCACACAAACCAGGACAAACAGGCATGGCATTTGTGCTTTTGGTGGGGCTCTGGAGAGCGTGGGAACAAGAGCTGAAGCACAAGGCTCAGCCTAGGCTAGTCCCCACTTGTCTTCCCCACTGCTACTATTGCATTGGTTTCTCAATGTCTTTGTGGGCATGCTGGGACTAGGCTTGGAGGTTTCTGCATTAGGGGTGGGAAGGAGCGGGAAGGGTATTCCAACAGCAAGTCCTCCCTTATCCCCCAATTTCATTTCTGCATGAGAGAATAGGTTTGATCCTTATTGTACCTTATTCGTGGTGCTGGAAAACCTTAGGCATAACAGTAGGATTGAGTTTTTATGAAAACTCTGTTTTCAAGTCCCAGGTAATTGAAACAGAGCAAAGTGTAAAGGCCATTTGTCATGTTAAACAATTCCAAGTCATAATGGAATGGCTCCATTCCATTCCTAAAATGTCTTCTCCCAATTACTCCTGCTCCTTTTATTTTTTTATGCACTGGGTGTATTTAATTTTCCTCTCATTCCTGTTTTTCCTCCAATATTTCTGCAGCCCTCTCCTTCCTGCTTCCTCCTTGCTGTGGTGGCTGGGATGCTTCTCCCATGACTTTCTGAATCTAGGCTGGTCTCTTCTCTGTTAAAACAGTCAGTACGACCTCTTAACAGGTGTGTATGAAAATAGGTTTATTAAAAACAAGAAAGACTATTTTAAGTGCCTTTTTTGTTTTTAAGGATTGATGGGAGGATGGTTAGGAACACAGCTTATTTTTAATTAATTGTAAAATCTGTAGTTAGAAGAGGAAAAACTCCATTAAGACCCAACAGTATGAATACATTAGCCAATTTGTTGCTTATATGATAGTAAGAATATAGAAAACTCGTCGTATCTGTATTTATTGCTATCATTTATAATTGAAATAAAAACAAGCATTCTAAATATATGGCTATTTCTTATGAATGGAATGAGTAAGAGGGTAAAAAAAAAGTCTTTTAAGAGATTTAGAGTTGGCTGCAGATCACAGATATGTAGGAATTTCCTTTGAAATACTTTGTGTAATAATGTAGAGTTTGAGCCCAAGACTCCTTGCTGTATTTCCCAATGAGATGACTCCTCAAAGTTGTGCCTTCCCCCCCCCCCAATCTTCTCTTGTCCATTGGTAGTCAAAACATTTGTTTTACCTCAATGTTGTATAGTTTTGAAAAGTAGAAAAATCCCTTTGTAAATATACTCAATATTTGAGGACTTTTTAGATTGAGAAGTTGGACTTGCTTTTGTCTCCATCCTTTAATGGTGGAAAGACCTCCATATTTTACTTGCATCAAACATAACATACTAATTTACAGTATTTAACTTCCATTGTTTGTATTTGGGAGAGGTTAAGTAAGGTAGTGCCCTTTATCTGCAGCTTAGAACAGTGAGTGCTGGTCTGTACACTGGAACAGGGACAAGGAACCTGATTGTCGTTTCATGTGACATCCATATTCCCTACCACACTCCTACCAACAATGTGGATACTTGTAGTTGGACCTTCCCATAGTTTCTGTGGGATGTTGAGGAAGGTAGTGGGGCAGGACCCCGCTTGAGTAGACACTGGTGATGGGCTCCCAGGCTTGGTGGTGGGTTGCTTTCTGCACTGCAGTAGAATCATGAGAGGGCATCTTTGGTTCTGGGATTAAAAATTCATCTGTCTTCTCTGACTTCTGACCTTTTCTCTCCTCTTTCTTACCCTCTCCCCAGTAGTGTGAAGTGAGGGGGACCTTTTCCCCTCCTTCCTCCTCCCTTTGTGAGCCACCGTCCTTTTTACCCTGCCTTGCGGCGGCTCCGCCCTTTACCATCATGGACGACTCAGAGGTGGAGTCGACCGCCAGCATCTTGGCCTCTGTGAAGGAACAAGAGGCCCAGTTTGAGAAGCTGACCCGGGCGCTAGAGGAGGAACGGCGCCACGTCTCGGCGCAACTGGAACGCGTCCGGGTCTCACCACAAGATGCCAACCCACTCATGGCCAACGGCACCCTCACCCGTCGGCATCAGGTAACCCTTCTTCCCATCAGACTGCAGGTAGGATTTAACAGGCTCACGGAAATCTACCTTGGAAAACTCTCCTGATGGTGGTGGGCTTATCCGGTGCTGTGCTTCATGGTAAACCTTTCTAAAAATCACATCTGCTATTTGAGGCAATAGCAACTCATAGCAACCCAGGACAGTGTAGCACTGCCTTGTACTGTTTGACCCTTTCTGAGGGTCGTAAATACTGACTAAGAGATGGGGAATGTTACTGCTGTGCTCAGTTGGGTGGACTTATCTCCAGAAGAGTCCATCTGACTTTCTGTTTAGCCAGAGTAGGGTTTCTGGGTTGAGATGCCATTCTCATAATGGCGGATTATATTTGGAGCTATACTCAAATTACTTCTGTTTTCTTGGTTTTAAAATTTTAGGAAAGTAAATCCCTGCTTAGTGGTTGGGAAGCTAGGCATCTTGTGCTCTCGGTCCCGGTTTGGTCTCCCTCAGGGAACAGTCTGTGCTCAGAAGGTGTGGCCGTGTCTATATTTTGTGTATTCCTCTTCTTTGTTGACCTAGTGTACTTTTTAGTTGTCTGCTGTAAATTGTGTCTTGGAGGAAGGGTCATTGTTCATTTTCTTGGTTAGAGCTGGGGAGGGAGTGTCCTGCTGCTGTTTAACCCACATAACCACAGGAGCCAGTGGTCTCTGAGGTTAGTTGTCTCTGGGACATGCCTTGGGAGAGTTGGTGGTAGAAATGAGAACTTTCTTCTCCTGTGCCCCCATAATAGGAAAAGAAAGAAATGAGAAGTATTTTGTTTCCTATGTCTTTAGTCTGACTTCATTGTGATGTAATCTGTCTGAGGTTTTGTCTGTCTTTGTGTGTGTACTCGCATACAGTGGACATTGCCTGACAGATTTGCATTTTAAGAGAGCTTTGTGTGGGAACCTGAACTACGCTCATGGTCCAATAGTCCTTTTGTTGATTTCTTAATTATTTATATTTAAGTTAGAAGAGAAAGGTCCCTATACTGAGGAGCCTTGTAAATGTGAAGAAGACAGATTTTTCCATTTAGGAATGACCAGAAATTTGAAGGCTCCCAGAACTAGAGTAGAGGTCTAGGGATCAGCCATATATATTGGAAAGGTGGGGTGTGGCGGGGTGTGTATGTGTGTGTATGTGTGTGTGTGCGCGTGCGCGCAGAGAGCAAGGTTGCTCAGGCCGGAGAGATGGGGATTTCCAGGAGTTGGTATGATTTCTCTCCTTCATTTGGTTTTTGGTTTTGTGTTTTGTTTTTTTTTTAAAATAAACTTCTCCGAAGCAGTGATACTGATACCACTCCCTTCCGACTTCCTGAAAAGAATGTTTAATTTCCTCTCCCTGCAGCATTATACACTGTATATAAAGGGGCATGGGTGGGGAGAGATGGTCTCCCAAGGTGCCTTATCTCACTGTTCTGTTGAGGAAGAGTAGGCAAATGCATTTTTACATGGCATAATGTCATTGGATTATTTTCTGCTGCAAAAGACAGACCAGTTTCAGAATGGTGTTTTTTAATATGTGCTGTGGCTCTAAACTGGTGAAGATGCTGAGGAGTTTTTCTGAGGAGATTTGGGGTGCTTGGTAAAGAAAATTCATCTTTTGATGTCTTTAAAAAGCTGCCTGTTATGGGAGTTTCCAATAATAATAGAACGCGAAGATCTTTAGAACAATCAAGAAGGCTTTTGGAAAGCCCCAACCTACTCCTTTCAACTTTGCATATATTTGTACAACTTTCTAAAAAGTTTGAGTTTTGAGAGATTTACCTTGAGTTTCAGCTGTTTACTCATCAAATGTGTTTTGAGTGCCTGTTGTGTGCCAGAGATCATTCAAGGAACCAAAGATGTCAGTAACGGACCCCAGAAATTCTCTGTTCTCATTGAGCTTACGTTCTTATTATATTCCAGAGACCCAGACTGTTAGAGTCCCAGGCCTGACTGCAGCTTGATGAAAGTACTAAGATTAAGGAGTGATGTGGTTTTCGTATGAACACTGATACAGGACCCTATGCCACAAATATCTTCTTGAATTCCCTTTTCCTGTTTAAAAAAAATCATTTATGTTTGATAAAGCAAAAGAAGGCCACAAAATGAATTGTCTTCTTGTGGGCTATGTTTCAGAACGGCCGGTTTGTGGGCGATGCTGACCTTGAGAGACAGAAATTTTCAGATCTGAAACTCAACGGACCCCAGGTAATTATTTTGGCCCAGGGCCTAGGTTACTTCATTCATTACTTTTTATTTCCTCAGTTAATAAGATCTTGTTAGTGTCTTGTGGAGTGCCTGCCACACTGTAACGACCCATTAATATTAGTTTCTTTCAGTTAGAAGAAGAGATCTATATATCTCCAAAGGGTTTATGTAGTTTTGTTTTGGAAGGAACCTTAATGACCATTGATCCTTGTCACTCATTCCACTCTTTATCCCTGTTTGATTTCTCATTTTCTGTTTTCCTTTTCTAGAGAGGATATACATTCTCTCTAGAAAACCTAACCTGAAGCTTGGCTGATCTTGAGCCTTAGGCAGTATCTGAAGAATAACAAAGTTTGTTCATACTGAGACTTTCTGGTTTATCTTAAAAATTCTTTATTTACTAGGAAGATAACTCTTGAAGAGTCACTTAGATGTAAATATATCTGCAGCTCGCACAGTTCATTTTAATTTAGAACTGGGAAGTTAAATCTGCTGTCTGTCATTTAGATGTTGATGTGGCAATGGTTAATTCAGTTCATGTTTTTAAATAGCCAGAATTGGGAAATTCTATCTACCGACCTTTATTAAAGTTTAGAAGTTGAGGATTACCATCCTTCCAACAATGCTGCGACCTATAATGGAAGCCTGTTCCCAGGGCACCTGTGCTTCTCTTTGGGACAAACTGTTAAGTGTTTGGCTTAATAGTGTTATTATGTATTGTCAGCTGCTACTTAGAGTGACCCTCTGAACAACAGATCTGAAGCCTCTTCCCTGTCCTGTGCTGTCCTCACCAGCTCTGACATGCTTGAACCCATTGCTACACTCACTGTGTCATTTCACTTTGTTGAGAGTCTTCCTCTTTTACATTGACCCTCCACCTTCCCAAGCATGATGTCCTTCCCCTTTTGAATTAAAAAAAACATTTTAAGAATAGATTTGAACATTGAACACTGATAATTGACGACCTGATGTGGTGGGATGACATGAACAATATCATCCAGGATAAAAGCAAAAAGTCATTACAAATGTGAGGAAAAAGAAAAGAGCAGAATGAATATCACAAGAAACTCCGAAAATTCCACCAGAATGTAGAGAAGCTAAAACTGAGGGAAGAAATGATGAAGTAAAAGGGTTGAACAGAAGATTTCAAAAGGCAGCATGAGAAGACCAAGTATTATAATGAAGTATGCAAAGAGCTGGAGCCAGAAAATAAAAAGGGGAAGACCTCACTTGGCATTTCTCAAGCTGGCTGAACTGAAGAA